TTTGGGTGCATGCCATAAGGGGGGGGGGGGGGGCATGGAAACATGCAGAATATTTAATAGCAACGTTTTGCATGCTCGCCTGGCACTTGATAAGACTCTGTCATGACACTATCTAAAAATGTATATGAAAGTGCTTGGCCTAAAATTAAGCCGCACTGCTGCCTATCACTTGTGTGGATGTGATAACAAGAAATAAAAGGCCCTTTTCAAAGAGGCTAAAACATTTTTTTTGTCTGTTTTAGTTACTTAAAGATGCACCTGAAACACAGCGTTTATGTCTCAAGCAGTTGAACAAACATTCACACAACAGACAGCAAGATGGTCTCAAAGCTGATTGGGCTGGCAGCCCGCAGCTATTGGGAACCAAAATAAATGCACGTCGGGATCATGGCAGGGACGCCTTGCCTGCTTTTTCTCCAGGATGGGGACAAAGGCAACCCGGACCCAACATCCAGTAGAGCGGACGAATGGTAGGTTGGTTGACTTACATTTAACCCTACTCCAGATAAGTATAGACTTTGATACCATAAGGCTGGTTTGCATATATTGATCGGAACACAGTAATTATGTTGTTACAGCAGAATTATAAACCTGGTTTACACTTGTATATTGCAGAAAGTTAAAAATTCTTGCAATTTTAAATTAATGTAAATCAAAGGAGTGACCTATGTATATGATGTGCTCGCAATGACTAGCCCAATTCAGCCAAACAGAACCTGAAGTTCCCGTTTCATTTCACAGAAAACAAAAATTCGTCTTTTTGATTTCCTGGGTGGAAGCATGACATTAAATTTATGCATGCACTGTTGCAGGCTGGCACACTGCCATAGCCTAGGACCAACTTGGAAGCTGTATCACACCAAGAAGATGGTTCTGGAATTTCAGCGTAACTCGGCGAAATTGACAGGATGGTACGTACAAAGTAACAACTCTGTTCATTTTTCATTTTAACCTGGGAGTGTAACGGGGATAGAGCTGGCTTATCTGATGCCTTCTAAATAGTTTACAGGATAATATATAGAATATTCACACTAAAATCCTGTATACTGTAAGCGACGTAATTTTCACGAATCACTTATAATTGCGAAAAATAGCTTCCTCAAAGATTTTGACGTTTTAAATGTTCACACGATTATAGTATTTTCAGCCAATTATAAAAGTTTAAAATTCGTTACGCTGAGAGCTGTCATAAATGAAAGAGGCTTTTGTGATCTAAATGGGCTTCTAAATCGCGAATGATCAATTACGAAAGATGACAATGATTTTACTAAATGGCATGTCGAAAACAATACGGCGCTGAGGGAACAGTAAAATTTATAGAGGTGGCTTGATTAAACATATGTTAGGTTCACAAAACAGCATTTTTCTTCTGGTACCTATAGTGTTCCAAACCGTACGTAAACCCGTTCTGCATATTATCCTAATAGTTTGCGTTTAAGAAAGTTTTAGTGGCATAATATATGGTGTTCATAAATCTTGGAAGCTTGGTGGGTGGCTCCTTTCGAGACAAAATTAAAGAAGCACAATAAGGCGTATTTGGTTTGCATACTAGTTTACCTCATCATGTCTTTGCCTTAGAAGTCGTCACGGCAGATGACTGCCGACAACTCAATTGCTCACTCTTTGGCTCATATTATCAAGGAATACATGGCTTGCATTGACGTTACGTCGGCCGCCATTGCTCTGTACCATGCTCCTGTGACCCGTTCCTTCTGCAGCATACATTTTGGAACCATCGAATTTATTTTTCTCGGCCATATGACGTCGCATGCACGGAATGTATAATAGCCGATAATTAAAATTTTAATACTATTCGTAGCTTTTTGAAGCTACCGAATGCTCCAGCTGGCGTCATCGACTACAATACAAAAGCAATTAGTTGGAACACATTCCCTCCACGCAAAGCAAAACAAGATAGGGATTCACCAGCATAGATGTTTGCTTGATTTTGAGACAGAAATGTTTCATGTGCATTTCACTATATCTACAATATTGTTTTTTATTCTCTTTTTTTTTCTGGGATGAAGAAGAAACCTTCACTTCTTGTGGCATGTATGAGGGCCCCAGTTTCGAGGAGACTGACACGCTCTTGTACGTTGGGAGGAGAGAGCTGCTTAGGGGCGTCGACACAGGGGAAGAAACTACAACTTATCACGCAGCCGAGTGACGTCTCAACTCAAGGTACACAAGAATGCCATTTAATGTTTGCAACATCTTTGAATACCTTTTTTTAGGTGTTACTATTTCAAGACCTAAGTTCATCGCAGAACGTTTTATTGCAACTTACAAGGCAATATTCACAGCCAAAGATGTATGTGCAGTAAGCAAAAATTAAATGAGTTTCAACTTTATACGCCATTAAAGTATTTTGTGCACGAGTGGATGCAGGCATGCAGTAACCACTGAATCCGTTACAAGTAACGAATTTACTTGTAATACCTTACAATTAGCAGTAATCTAGTAACCGAATAATTAAATATTTGCCAGAGTAATTGTAAAGTAATTTCCTTACATATTTACGTAACGGATTCGTTGTAATCATTTACATTTTTTCAGAACCCCCCCCCCCCCCCCCCCCCGCCCAATAAAAAAAAAGTTGTTTTTATTTTGCTAAAGTCGTGCGGAGGCAGAATGTCACGCGCATTGACCAGCGCAAAGGGAGGTTTGGCACCTTTCAGTTCCCCAAAGCCTTTCTCGAACACCATGCCCCTGAATCTATTTAAATCTATTTTTTTAGACCCTAACAACAATGTCAAAAAATCCAAATGTGTATTTCTACAAAAAAGAAAGAAAGAAAGTGGTGGGCAAGTTATATCCGCTTTTTTAGTCCTTTTGTTTTTTCTTTTCGATCTAGAAGACGGGTAGAGGATGACACCCAGGGGTTATGTGCCTTTTCGAGAAGCTCGAGGCGGTCAGTGCACAGACAAGAATTAACAATGTCCTTCTCAGTTACAGTGACTACGACATTTTTCATATTGTCACAACAGCAGTGAACGCTCCGTCTACAGTAAAATCCACTAAAAGTGATGGAATAATATGTGAATGTGTTATTGACGCAATCATCCTCGTTCATTACTGCACACTTCCGGGCAGCAGCGGACGTCGATCTGGCGAACACCGGAGAAAACTGCACTCGGTCCGTGCTCCGTGCGGTTTTGAACAGCATCAAGAAAGGTACACACGGCAAAAAGGCGTCTACATTTTCTTGTTTTAACCGACGCTCTAAATAATTGTAGTTATGAGTGTCCTTGTGTTTGTTTTTCTTATTATTACGAATATTTATATATTGAAAACGTTTTCTTATTCCCCGACGTCTCAACCGAGGCTCGACCTGTTCAGAACCAAAGGAAGAAGAATATTGCTCCAAACCTTATTTATTATTTATTATCCCCTTACTATTACCAACAATGCTGTGCTATTGTCTGGCAATATATGAAGGTATAGTAAGATGCACATAAATAAATTCTTATTACAGTTTTGGCTAGTTATATGATGACCTTTACAGCTTCGCGATTTCGACAATAGAGAATTTTAGTAGATTGCTCCGATGACTCCGATAACGATATCCGATACTCCGCCGCCGCCTTTGCACGTGCATCATATCGTTGTCGGGCATTGTTGTAGAGAGCATCGCAGGTATCGGAACAATGTACTAAAACTCTCGAATATCAGGCAACGGCTGCAACGACGAAGCTTTGCTCTATCTTCGAGGTAAATAGTACTTCCATTGCTTCGTTGGAGAAGATCAATGCAGAGCATGAAGTATTCGTGAGGCACAATATGGCACTCCCATCCAGTGCCTCAGTTCAAAAAGTGCTCAACGTAGCAGTCGACATCTTCAGTAAGAAATAACGCAAGATGTCTAACGAGATTTTTGAGAGCCAGCTGTTGCTCAAAATACTCTGGGTCAATAAAGGGAACAGGTGGCAACAATCAGAACTTGAATAAGCCTCTTCCCTTTGTTTCTTACTTTAGGACAATACTCTTGGAAGTAACGCCACGAAAGTAACGGATTACTTTTGGAGTAACGGTCACTTACTAATATAGCAGGGTAATTGTAATTGTAATTAATTTCACTATAGCCTTGAGTAATTGTAAATGTAATTCTTTACTATTTTTCAGTAACGTGTACATGTCTGCGCACACCTCCTCTTTTGGGAAATGCCACAAAAAGTTGCCTCTGATTATATTGAGCGTCACATAATTTTATAAAATATTACAAAATAATATATAAAACGCCAAAAAATTCATTTTTTAATTTTCTTTTTTTTTTTAGGATCGTATTGTTTGTCCCTTTCCGACATCCCTCTTGGCCCGAAAACTGATGTTATAGATTTATGGAAGGGATTCAAGCTTACATTGTTTTCGCTAAATGTTTGATGCACACATCGTGAGATTCAGGAATAGTTCATGAGGAACATGAATACTTGGAAGCATGCTAAGCATCTTCTGAGTTGCACGATATGCCAGCTTCACCGATGTAGGAATAAAAAATAACTGTAGAAGAAAACCCAGTTCCAACAAACTAAGCGTAGCTTAGTTTGCTGGAATAATTTTTCATTTGTCGGTATTGCGTCTTTTCTTGTAATTTCATACGAATTTTATTCTATGACAAAACCTAGCATCCATATAGTGGAAAGAATAATGTCACCCTGTGTTTGACGTTTACTCTGCCAACGTATATTCTTCGAGTGAATCTGGAGATGTTACTCCACACGATATTTATTATTGCGGATAACCCGGGAAGTGTAGCGACTGATTTTTCTTTTTCCCCAGTCATACTCCAGCAACGCCCTCGCTCAACAGGCCTAGTTGGCCTGATGTTCAGTTGTAGGATCGGGTCAACATCATAGCAAGGGAAAAGCAGGTATTATAGTGGAAGTGTCAACATCCCATACCTTTTCCGTAGTTATTTCTTTTTTTTTTTTTTTGCTTACTTATAACAAAAAAAAAAAAAAAGAACAACAAAGAAACAGGGAGGAGGGGGTGGAGGCGCTCACCCTGGGTGGTTTGGCCGTGAAGTTTCCGATGTCGTTATGGAGGCCGAAGCGATACTGGTGTGGCTGCGGCGGCGGCGACGCCGAGCCCGCTGAGCTGGGCGCGGCTTCGGGTGGGGGCTCGGGCTCCCGGGGTGGCGACCCCGACCGCGACATCCTCGCCGACGACGTCATGGGGGCATCGTGCCTCGGCCGCCTGCACAGACGTGCCCACCTTCAGTCTCCGGGCGGGCACCATTCCACCGGCGGTACCAGCCGCCTCAACTCGCGCACGTGCATCCCCTAAAAGTGTTCAGGAGTAGGCTTCCCCGCGAGGCGGCCCGCCAACATTCACGGAGCAGTCCATGACAACTTTAAAAGGCCGTTGTCAGAGTCTCTTATCTCACTGTCACCAGGAAGTTCATGAGACAGCAGAGCAACGTTGGCGATTGCCATTTTTTGGCCACGAATTCCGTGATTCGATCCGAGTGGACGGCCAACGCTGTCGCAGCCCTCCTGTCCAATACATGCTCAGAGGAAGGAATCAAACAATGGCGGACGAGGAGTATTCGCGCAGCAGCTACTGGATGGCGCGAACATTTGAAAAGGGTCTATCAGTTGCACCCTGTCGCTCTTGGGATCTGTTTACTCGTTGGATTAATCCACGCGCTGCTTAAAAGGGAAACCCTCGAGTTTAATTTCCTACAGAGCACCTGGTGCGTCCTGTATAATCAGTGTTAAGAACCGCGGGGCGTTGCGAGCCCCAATCGTTCCATTAACGCGGGTTCGCTTGAGATACCGCAGAACCAGCCGAGAAAATCAATCAATGACTATTCAGATCACGTGTAAACGTTACCACTACCTCGTCACCTAGGGTTCCTCGAGAATTCCTACAGCACTGCAATCAAGTCAAACCCTCTCGTCATGCTGTTACCACGAAGAGACTTTACCACAAAAACATCTCTGCTTATAGCAAGAAAAAAGAAAGAACGAATGTCAAAGAAACGTTTGCGAAATAGAAAAAAAAAGATGAAAGATAACTGTTGTTGCGAATAGGGGCCCGATTTGGACTTTCAGAGAGTCAGGAGCAGCCCAAAATCTTGGACGGAAAATCACAAACGACTGCTTGCACAATGCCAAGCCAGAGTCTGGGACACAATAACTGTCCCAACGCAAGTAATTATTTGGATAAGAAAGGAATCCTTCAGTCAATTGAAAAAGTATTTCTATCTCCTACATTGATAAAACAGTCTGGTGAAATAATACGTACGATAAGCTCTAAAGAAGCCATTACAAAAATTACCACAACTGACTCGCCTGATATTATTAGCGTTAATTCTTTTTGATAGCACCGCGCACGCCAAGCTCAAGAAAAGAAAGTTGCATCACACTTTTAGCCATCCCGAAGACGGGTTTCTGGACTCCATTTAATTAGTTTCGCCCCCTTCGGACCCGCAGCTTCTTTTTCTTCCCCCAAAAATTCTCATCCTTAAAAACACCCGACCGAAAGCCAATCTTTTCTCCTTTTTTTTTCGTTCCCGCGGCAAGCGATGACATTTATAAAAAAAGACAGTTCAGATACGAAAAGAAGAAAATATATTTGCCTGTCGATCTTTCTTCTAATGCAACTGACCTTTCACAATTTCCTGCGAACATTTTTCTTTCAAGGGTTGGAGCAATCACTGGAACCCACGGCATGAACATATACCACACTCAGGTACCGTTCTTTTTTTTTTTTGTATTCGATAACGGAAGCTGTTCAGTAACGCGAAGCACGTGAGACGTCCATCCGTGGGACAAGCCACCGCCTTCATTTTTGAAAGAGCGGTGACCACTCTCAGCAACGCCCCCCCACCGAAAAACCCAGTATAACTTTTCACTATCTGAATTATGGAACTCGAAGTTTATCTGAATTCTTTCTGAATTTCAGGTTTACAGAAATTATTCGTTTGTCTGCAATCTGGATTTCAGGTTTTCAGAAACAATACCATTTAGATTTCCAAATTCATAATCTAGATAGTGGAAAGTTATAACGTGTTTTCCTGTAGGGCTCAGGCGTACTGCCTCGCTCATTATTTCTGAGGCTTTCCTGGTTTCATTGTACTGAACGCACTCCTATCTATAAGCATATGTACAGTACGTAAAGCGGTATTCATACGGGGAAAAATCTGCGGAGGGTTGTGCGTGACGGTGAACAGCGACCGCCAATCCTCCTCAGCTTCGTTGTTCACACTGACGCAGTGCTGGGAAGAGGGGATGTGACCGTTTGCAGTCCAGGCTCCAGCTTAGCGGTTTCCACTCTTGACGCCACCGCAGATGAATTGAGCGGTCTATACACTTGACAGAAAAGCGTTTCACGACAAACTATTACATATAAATAAAGCCCAAAGTGATCTGCCGCCAAACCTGGGTTGTTTGTACCGCCCGAGCATAAATACCTCCCTCCCTGCTCCGCGTAGCTTAAGCGCCGCATCACGAAAGCTTGACGCTTTCGGCGCGTGATGCGCGCTCCAGGGAGAAATCCCCTAGACTTCTCCCTCGTGTGAATATTGCGTGAACCCCCCCCCCCCCCCTCAACGCTGGTTTTCTTCTTTCTCTGGGCTTGGTTGAGTCAAAGTCTGCGCTCCCCCCCCTCCTTTCCCTCAACGTCATCACTATTGGTGACGAGATGTGTTGGTGGCGCCACCTCGCGGGTGCTCTCCTGTGACAGAGCGGGATGCGAGCGCTATATATCCCAGGTAGCACAGGACGTCGAGATGACGTAAAAATGAGGTCCTAGACGTCGGCTACGTCGAGGCCCTTAGCATAATTTTTATCGACGTCAATGATACGTCACATGAATGGTGCCGACAACGTCAAACGCGCGACGTCGTGGCAACGTCGTGAGCTTCACCTCCACATCTTCAACATTAATCGACGTCTGTTCGACGTCTTGTCCGGGAAGTTCTTTGAACGTCGAGCACGAGACGTCCCAACAATGTCCTGAGCAACACCTTGACGATGCATCGATATTAATCGACGTCAGTTTTTCGTTTCTTTTTCGGGAAGTGTAGAGTAGGTTGGCGGAGAAGGAACAGACACTACCATGGGCCAGAGTGCCACGAAGAAGAAGAAATTTATCCCGTCGTTTTCTACCCGCTGGCCTCTAAGGCAAGCCGGGAGGTGGCGGAATGCTCCCCCGCCCCCCCATACCACATCTATCCCTTTTATGCAGAGTATTGCTGAGGTGGTTTTCCATGCGTTAAACACACAATAAAGAAAGACGAGGCTGTGGCCTGACTCAGAGGTAACGAGCCCTCTTCATACGCAGCGGATCCCAGGTTCAATTCCAGCGAATGGCGGGAGATTTTTTTTTTCCAGAATTTGGCAACATCGACGACGGACACCGTACAACCCCAGCTACAACAACTACAGCAATAACAACGGACGTCATTCGCAGTGCTGGGAAGACCCCATAACAGCTATCGCCGAAAAAAAGCAAATCCGTTCTTTCTGCGAGGAGAGCGCAAAATAAAAAGTCACGGGGCCACAAGGGCAGCGCCCGCCAACTAGAACCCCAAAAGAAAGCCTCTGCAGTGGGCTGCACCCGCGTCTTCGCAACGAGAGCAGCAAAAGCATGTCCGGTTGCTCCGCTCTTTCCAGGCGCAACCAGCGCAGCTCGGGCTGCCCACGCGGGGGGATCCGCCGAGGAGTCGTCCCTCTCGAGCGCCCACGAGGCAGCTAATTAAAACAGAAAGGCTCTCAGCGGCGCGCTGGCTGGAAGAATCCGTCGAAGATGGAGGACCCGTGCCCGAAGTACAAAGCCGGTTCCATTGTGACGCGACCCAGCCGCTCGGAGAAAGGCTGGCTGCACAGCGTACCGCCGGCGCAGCGTTTTTGTTTTGTGCCAGATGCGGTGTCCTTCCTTCGCGCGCCTTCTGTGTCCGGTCGTAAGGCCGCTTCGCTCCAAGAGTTCACGTGATTTCTGTCTCGAGAAATCAGACCACGCGTAGCAGAGAGGCCTGCTTTGGTACCGTGCGGAGCCAATTATTAAATGCGGGGCTGGAGAAGAGGGTAAGTACGACTAGTGTAAACGGTTTCCAAATCGTACGGAATCTCCATCGTCCCTCCGGCGAGTGCGCTTGCTGACTCAGCGACACCGGCTCCGTATGACTTGATTTCCTGGATCGGTTATTTTCTCGCGTTTTTTGTTTATTTATTTTTTGTCTTTAACAAAAGGGGAGGGGAGAGAGGGAGAAGGAGTAAAAACGCGTGATGTTTGTTTTAACTTTTATTCTTATCCATACAATTTAACGGTTCAAAATGGAAGAATGAAAAAGAATTGCTGAGTGGGCTCGAATCTCAGACATATTTCACCGAATGCAAAGTCAATTATAGAAAAATCTCAAATTATCTTCCCTTTTCGAGAAAGAAAAAAAAAAACTAAATAAGAAATAAATAAAAAATTGCCCATGGAAGCTCAGGAACACGGTTTTTTTTTTTTTTTAACTACTTCGAATACGAGAAAATGTTGATTGGGGCCACTGGGCTCGGATTGTTTTTGCCTTCTACCGCGCGAACGTTTCATCTCAACTCACAGAAAAGAATTAACACTATTCTTGTGCACATCGTCTCGTTATTATTCTACAAAAGCGAGTTCCTATCTCATTTTGTCTCCCGTACTCGTTCAATATATTCACTAGAAGCCGTATCTGAGGGCGATGTTTAGAGCACTTGCTCACAACGAGCTTGCGTAAATAGGCTGCTAAGACCGGCAATCTTAATGATGCGAAAGGCACGTTGCAAAAGAACTGTGGAAGCTCTCCGTCAGCACGCGCTCAGCAGTCGCGTACACACCTATGGCCGCCAGTGAATACTCCCTATAAATGGCAGGTAAGAGCGTGATAATTGGAGGCAGAACCAAACGGTCTGCAATGCCAAGCATCCGGCCCAACCAAGTCAACTGTACTTGAGACAGCAAAACGACCATCGAAACAATCGAGCAAACAAATAAAAATCCTCCGACAGCCCCCGACGGCTAATAAAAAACAAAGGGCTCGGCTACAGCGCGCGGACACCTCCCGCCTTGAGCGGACAGCTAAGCTGTCACAGCGCCCGGCAGAACGACGGGCGCTTTGATCGGGGCTATCTCGGGCGCAGACACAGCTCGAGTTGGGACACGCGCTCCAGACTCGAATCCAACGTAGGCTACAGTACTCGCGCGACATGCAAACTTCC